ACTCTGATACCTTGTAAAACAAATCATTACTGTTGCCCCAGACCTGCAAATCGAAAATACCCAAACTTTCTGTTTTGTACATTTCTTTAGACTTAAGCAACTGAATCACTAGAAGTTGAATACAAAAACACCTTGAGAGGCCGTTGCTAGTGTATCACACCTTGAGTTACTGTGCTTTGAAACTGCAACTTTAACCTTTATAGGGCAGAATTATTTCTTGCTTTGCAGCTTGCTAAAGCACAAGTAACAGAATAAGCTTAAAAGAAAGCTATAATTGTAACATTAGGAGGGAGGTCTATGAAGAATCCTGCAGGCAGAACATTTGTTCTAACTACATTTAGGTCAGTCTTTTCAGTGTTTTGTTTTGTCCTTTTTTTTTTTTTTTTTTTTTTTTTTTTTTTTTATTCCAGAGAGTTATTTGTCAAGGCCCAACAGAAGTGTCCAACTTCATTCAATTGTTTCTATGATGCCAAGGTTTGATATGATACAAGCTCTGGAGGTCTGTTGATTTCACAAAACAGTGATTGAAGAATGGCATTCTTAGTGGAGATATTTTACTTTTTAAAAAAACAATCACATAGAAGACTTTTATAAACATTTGTTTGTCCTTGGTTACCCAGTTTTATAATAATTCTCCACCTCCCGAGAAATGCAGATAGTAGTTGAATTTGTTCAGAGCAACACACCTTCTTTTCCCATCCTCCTGTTGAGGAGCTATTTGAATGAGAAGGTAATTCAGAGAAGTTCTGCAATAGTTTGTTGTAGCTGCCTAGCCAGATTACTTAATTGCGCCTGGTGGCACAGGGTTCTTCTGAAGTGTTCATGATATCTGAAACAATGAGAACTACTTTTCATTTTTATTATATTTAGTTAACTTTCTATTCTGGCCAGTTCTAACAATGAAAATTTTCAGCCCTCTCAGATGAAGTTTCTCAATGAATGTGTGTCAATATAAAGAAAAGTAGTGTAATTTTCAAAAATGCTAAGCAGTTTAGTTATCCAAACAGTTTTCATTGGAACTTTTGAAGCCTAGATGCTCTTTATAAAATGAGCTTTTTAACATTAGTTGCCAAGGGTTTAGGAGTTGATTTTGAGCATCCCTACATGGAAACTCTGGAAGCTTCCAATGATACAGACAAAAGACAAATAGTTGCTCTCTGCATAGAGTATTATAGAGTGATTTGTTGATCAATTACAGGTATCATGTATATGTGTGTGTATATACATATAGGCAGGAGGATAAACGATTCTACAGCTCTTGTCTTGATGGCTTTTGTTTTACCTCCTTCTTATTCCCATGGATGATAGTGCCAATATATTACCTGTGGTAATAGATCGAGCCTCCAACTAGTGAAGACTGCCATGTATTTTGTCTGTGGCTGGTCACTGCAGAGCAGGGGCTGTGGGCTTGAGGGGAATGCGGTGGGGAGCAGTCATAGCAGCTGTCTGCACTGGGCTGCCTGGACCCAGTGGCCCAAGAGCACTCCAGAGTGAAGTCTGGCTGAGTCTGCATTTGCAAAGCATCCCTTCAGTTGCACTAGAGCAACCAGCAGGTCTGGTATACCACTGCAGCCGTTACAGAACACAGAAAGGTTGAAGAAAACAGAAATAAAAACCAAAACAAAACCATCTAAGGAGTTGGTTGGAAACTGTCATATATTTCTTGCCTTCTGCTCCTGTCTCAAGACCTATAGAGAGATTTTGATTGCTGGTCTTACTATCTGTTCATCAAGTGGGCAAACCATTACTCTCCCCAGCTTGGTAGAATAATCAGGGGGAAAAAATCTACATGGTCATATTGAATTTGCTATATATATATTCTTCTAGAAGCTAAACCTCTGGAAATGAACTTAAATTTTCAGGTTTTTTTCAGTTTATATCTTAATCTTCCTCTCTTTCTCCCAGATTGTATTTACTTGCTTATTTCTATCTCTCCAGTGTGATTCTGTGCCTTGCCCAAATAATGTAGGTAACTCACAGAAACTAGACACTTTACAGCAATTCCATAGTGTTGTACAGTTTTTTGAAGTAATTTTCTCTTAATAATATAATTTCAGGTTTTCTGTTAAGGTGGCTGCTGGCAAGCTTATGTGAGGCAGGGATGAGAGCTGTCAGCAGATGAGCTGCTAAGTTTCCAGTGGCTTTGAGCTTCTTTCCCAATGCTAGGCAGTGGTGCTTTAAAGAAAAATTGTTCCTATTCAGCTATGTTTTACAGTCTGAACATTCAAGGGATAAGAAGCACTTGCCATCATGTGTGAATTTTGAAATGTATTGCTTTAGGTAGGCTTTTAATTGCAATTGGTTTTCTGAGCATACCGTTTCTGAAGGTAGCTGTGTTGCTGAGGACTGGTTTTGTCATCAATTGACATGGTGGCTCAGTGGGCATGAGACACCAGAGCCATTTCCAGTCTGAGTTAAGGCTTAAGTACCAGAAATAGAAACCTTCTAATTGTATAAAATATTTATTGATAAGTATCTGCTACTTCTTTTCTCTGAATGATTCATTTTAAAGGCACAGTAAGAGCAAGACTATGCTACTATGTATGTATTTCCTTATTCAGTAACTCCTTTGGAGGAGCTGGAATCATGACAGTGGTGAGGGGGAAATTCTGGGGAAAGGTCTCTTCCTGGAAACATCTGCAATGCCTTGAATTATATCCATCCCACAAGCTGACAGCTGCAAGCACCAGGTACAAAGTGCTCAGCAGAGCAGCACATTTAACAGTTTACTTTGGGGGATAGTATTAATAAGTGAATGATCATTTTACCTTCAAATAGTAACTTTGTATTGAGGGCTCCCAAATGGTAATTTAATATAGCTGAATGTCTTTAAAATGTTTTGTTAACTTCTTAAGTAGTTAGAAACTGCAGAGGCAATATCTATCCCTTGGACATAGAAGTAGCAGGTATGAGCCATGAAAGTAGTCTTCAGTTGTTCTGTGTTCAGTCTGGCCTACTTATGAAGGGATTTTTTCTTAAGACCTGAAATACCCCCAAAATACAGCTGGTTAATACGCAAAAGATAACTGGTGCCCGGGATGCAGACATTTGGAGCTTATTCTGGTAATGTTGATGTAGGAAAACTCTAGTTTGAACATTAATATATTGGAGTTTTTAAGATGTTAGCCAGACTTTCACCTTTCTCACAGAAGGGGAGGATTTCTGGTTCATCACCTGCCATTGTGTCAGGCACTGGAAGAAACTCACTTCCTTCTCTGGAGGAAAGGGAAAAAAACCTGTTTGTGGAATATGTTATTACATCCATGGTTCCTTACCCAGCTAGACACTCTCACTTACCAACATCCTCTTGATTTCTTTAATCTTGTTTTTTCCCCATCTTCAGTTTTCTTGGAGCCTGTTGGCAAGCAATGCTTAAGAAATAGGTGGTTCTTCATTTACCACATTCGGCATTTCTGGTGTCCTCAGCCTCTGGCAAATCTTAGGGTTAGAATTCAGGCACTTATTGAAAAGAAGACCTGATTTAAACAGCAGTTTTTTTGAAACACAGTGGGCTGGGGGGATTTTCCTCCAGTCTGAAAAAGCAGATCATCAGTCTACTCACTGCTCTGATCATCACCAGCTCTGAATGCTTGCATACTTTTACTTCCTTTTGAAGACAAGGGAGTAAACTTGTTACCTTGCAACTCACAGGTGGCTTTCCATTAACAAAATCTGTCCCTACAGTCAAAATGAGATGCTTACAAGACCCAAGTTCTGCTGAGACAGTCAGGCAAAAATTTCAAGAATCAACACTGATCTATGCTTTTTCAAGGTTTGATGCCCAATCTTAGACATATTAATCCACATTTAAAACTGCAAGGCTTTAATCCACATCACCACCATTGTAGCTTTTCCATGTTAGAAGTTTAAAGTTGCATTGGAGCAATGTTCCAGCAAGCCCTGCATCTACCAACAGTGGAGGGATTCTGCCTAACTTCACACTACCTTAAGAATAAAAGTGAGTCTGCATTTTGAAGTAGCAATCCTTTTGTTTTTCTGAATAACCGATGTTCTGATATCAATCAATTCTTTCTTTCTTTCAAACATTAGAAAGATTTGGATTCTCCAGTTTTGGCTTTTTGTTTTGCACCCTCATGGACTCAGAATTCACCTTTCTTGATATAACACCAGCACCTACAGATTGCACCAGCACCCATAGTAGGAACATGGGGAAAAGAGCGCGCAAGAACTGCAGTGGACATGATCTGGCTCTTACCAAAACAGACTGTCAAAATTGCAGAGACGTGGCTGGCCAATCTATTTCTCTGCTGCCTCCCCTCTCCACTGAGGCCACAAGCCACCTGGGTACTTCAGAGACGGCAGATGAGAACTGGGTCCTATTAATATCAATGAGACTTTGACTCCTCTATGACGTTAAGCAGTTAAGCTTTCCTGAATTGACTTATCTCTTCCTGCCTTCTCAAGTTGTGGGGACAAAATGGTGATTCTTTACTTCCCAAGAGTATTCTTAATGATTTTTGAAGTTAATGAAGTTTTCTCTTAACTTGCGAACAATGGCACAGATCACGTGTTGGGTAAAGCATTTTCATGTGTGCTGATACCTAGGTGAGGATATTTTGAGGCTTATGCTTCTCCTAATCTTAAAAACACTTGTTTGCGTAAACCTTGGTTTTATGCTGCTGAGCAGATATATTACTGTGGACACACAACTGGCTGTTAGCTGGTATCAGAATGAGAAAAACCACAGTAGTCTTAATTCTGACAGATTTGTGAGTATTAGAAGAAACAGATGGTTTGGAAGAGAAAGGATTAGAAGGGAGGAAAATTTGAGTCTTCCAGTTAGTAGTTAGGTCAGTTCCAAAAGAGAAGAGAAAAGATCCACTGTGCATTTTGAGCATAAAGTTTTACTTTTCCTTGATGTATAAAACATCAGCTGCTTTCAGTATCAGAATGCTTACACAATAAGATGGTTTTAATTGGTCATTTCAGTTTAAATTGGCTAAAGTTATGTTGTTAATTGAATTGTTTTCCCTTTGCAGGGACCTCAGGGGCCTCCAGGACAAAAGGTATAGTATAAACAATAATACTGTGAAAGTAATTATTCCTCCTGGTGCCAAATTGCAAGCAGAAGAGGTGAATAACATTAGCTACTGTACACCGCGTTGAATCAGTTAGTTTAGGCCCTGAATTTTGTTTTTGCAAAATGCAGCCCTATAATGTGAGACATCAGATTTCTCATTTCCCCCATCATAGGAAGTTCAAGCAATGCAGAGCAGACTGTTTTCAATCTGTCTGCTTAACTTTCAGGTGAAAAGGTCACTATAATTTTCTTATTCATGGACTGGTACGACTGAGAAACCAAAGTTAAAACCTTGTGAAAGGTGGGGAGATAGGGTTTCTGATTAAATGCATGTCCTTACTCAAGGAGATCAGTGCCATATGACTAAAACATTGACCAGCAGAAACAAAGGACATAGGTGTTGCTGATAAATGGTGTTTGGTTGCCGGTGCTCAGGTGGTCTGCTGGTGTCTTCCTGTTCCTTCGGTAACCTGAGACCTGACTTCCTGGGAATGCTTTCAGCATTATTTATGCTCATTAAAGCTGACTACCTCAGTTTGATGGAGTGAGTTTAGGATTTATGGAATTACAGTCCTAGATATATCAGCAATAACAGCCCATAAGTGGCACTTTTCCAGCATCTCACCCACACACTGCCAAGGCAAGTAATTTTCTAGTTGATTTTAAAAGATTAAAAAGTTGTATGGAAAACATTTAATAAAACAGGATTCATTTGTATAAAGAAACAAAGAAAGAGGAAAGGAATAAGTAACATTAACGTATATGAGAAGGATGCCACCTCTGGTTTTCTTCTTCTGAGATAATATTCTTTAAGGTGAAGGTTTGCTTACGTCTCTTCAAATGGAACTTTTTGAACAAAAGAAAGAAAAACCTGATCATATGTAAAAATACAATCCCAACGCATATAAATTGGTGGAACTTTTTTAGCTGTGAGCTCTACTGATTTTGCAGTCTGAAGGAGAGGACTACCCTTCATGTTTGGCAATGCAGGAAAGTGGCATTGTAAAGCTGTACTGACCTTTAAGGTGACATTATAAAATTATACTGTAAACTTGGGGAGGAGAGTATTTTACATGTACAGCATTAGCAAAATCCATGAGCTTTTGAATATCTGATAAACTTTTGCTTGACATGGCAGAAGCAGCTTTATGTTTTCTAACATGTCTCATAAGAAAAATCAACGGCTATAGAAGACTGTTATTTAGAGGAGGAACTGTAAAAATAGAATAGTTTATTGAGGCTGATGTTTTAATGCCCTCCTGAGCTTTGTCTTCTAGTTTTCTGGAAAAATTATAGAAAGATGTGAAAATGTTCACTAGGGTCCCTTTGCAGCAGCTAACAGTCATGACCATGCATCCAGCAAAAAGAGGCAACAGGAATGCCAAAGTGGAAGCTCTGGGAGTAAGGAGAGAGCATTCTGGGTCATGAAGATACACTGGGATGCCAGTGTATTATTTCCTACTGATTTGCAGCTCTGTTATGAGCTGGAGTTGAATGTCCTCCTGGACATTCAAATGTTGGAAGTTTTTTGAGACCCTCATGAGTTGCTTCTTTTTCTTAGTTCACAAGATTTCTCAACTCGGTTCAATGACAAACGTGCATCCATTTTGGATTTATTCCCTTTGGGTATTGATGCCCTTCGACTAAACCATTTCTAGTGAAACCTCTAACCAATATGAATAGAGGGGGAAATGTCATGCACTGATTCTTGGGAGAGAGAGAAAGCAGGGCATGAAGGGATTTGCAGGGTGCTTATTTGTTTTAAGGGTCCTGGGAAACTGCACTTTTCACTGTTGACAAAGCCTCTTCCTTTCCCAGTCTGATGGCCTCTTTTTCAGGTTCTAGCCTTTCGAATAGCTATCATGTTTTTGTATCCTATCAAGGTGCTTATAAATGAAAAATAAAAAGAATGCTGCCGGTTTCCTTGCTGAGCAACACCATTATTATATAAAAGAGGAGAATGTTGTGTAAGCACATGCAGTTTTCCTGCTTTCCTTATGACTCAGGTTTTCACTGGTCATTCGTACCAACAGTTGCGCAAGTTCCTTCCAAAAATTTGTCCATCGTCCAGAAATTTACAGTGTGAGAGCTTTGTAAAAAGATCCTTCTGATGTTACAAGTCAATGTTGCAAAGTTTAGCTTTCCTTCTTTGTCTGCTCCTTGTGTGTGGCCTGTGTTGGCTTTTAAATTTTGATTGCAGTAATACTGATGCAATTTAAAAGGGTGTCTGCAATCTGCACTGTCAGGCTGAATTGTTGGAGATTATCTCTTGAAAGCCTTAAGATGCTACCCAGTTACTGAGCTTGAAGCCTCCCTCTTGAAACTTTAATAGCTTTGTTCATGTGCTACATTTGATTGTGTAGGGTCAGTCTCGAAATTTATCAGGAGCGTTAAATGGAATTGCATTTTAATTCTTACATTTCTTGTGAAGCATCCACAACATTACAAAGCAACCATCAGCTTGAAACTTGTTTCTGGAAGAGGCCATACAGTGGGACAGTGATTAAAATGTACAACATGAGAATATGTGTAATTAGTATAAAATCTCAACTGAAAAGAGATCTCAGCAAGGATAAAAATTAGTTTTTGAAAAATTTATTGCCATTACAATAAACAAGCAGTCACCATCATTTCTAATTACTGTATAAAGAGATGAAAGGTTTCATGACCTGTTTAATTTGCTAAACACCGGCGTCTGTTTCCCACCAGGGTTCTGTCGGAGTGCCTGGTGTTCCAGGGAGAGACGGACAAGTGGTGAGTTCACTGACTTGGTCAGCACTGCCATTATTTATGTAGCTGATTAAAGCTACTTAGGGCTTGTTCACATGAGCAGTATGCAACCTTCCATCCAGATTTGTGGTTTCAAATTGGTTTCACAGGAAAGACTGTACGATCCCGTTTGTGCTCTGAAGTATTTTTTTTCTAATTTTATTTGAACAGGCAGCAAATGTAATTAATTAAGCTGAAAGTCTGATGTTCAAATTTGATCATGAATGATAGGTTCCAGAGAAAAATGTGTGTTACTGGTGTGCAACTTTAGACAGTATGTTTACAAACTAAGTTTTTTCTGCAGATTTTTTTTTACTTTTTGTTAACTCAGTTGCATGGTGCAAACACTCATGTTGACACTGGGTATTTATACAGTGCCAATACATGGTTAATACAACCTATAAACAGACAATAGAGTCTGGAAACACAGGTGGAAAATAATGTGAAATTGAAGTTGGAGATAAAAATGCAGATAAGTAAATGAAACAGAAATATTCTTGAAGACAGCAGGGAGGAAATGCTAACTCCGACAAGTCAGTGTCATCTTTCAGTGCCATCACCAAGTTAACTCATAGTTCAGAACAGCCCTCCATAAGGAGGGGTCACAGTAAAGCAGCAGGACTGTTTCACAGCATTGCTAAGGTTTGTTGGCAAATCTGGGTAGTGATGTTTAAATAATATCCTTCCCTGACTGTAAACAGTATTATCCATCTGTTGTTCTCACAAGCACTAACATTCCTAGTGAACTTCAAAAGCACTGGCGGGGGATGCCAAGAGGAAGAAAATGTATGATACGGGTTGTTCACTGTGTTTAAGCAGCAATAAATGGTGGTGTATAAGGATCATTTTATACAATCCCCTCTTCTGCCTTCCTCCCCAAGAGCCCTAGGAATAAAAGCGCTAAGATTGTTCAAATAATTTAATTCTGATTCTTCTTTCCTAAAAAAATGATATATTGTTTCTAATAGCATAATATACAGCATTAGACCTATGTTTTGACAGTGTTTATAAGAAATTATATAATCACTTATTTTACTTTAGTGACAGCGATAATGCTAGGAACCTATTTTTAAAATATTCAGAGTATTATGATTACTGTGGAACAACAAAAGAAAAAATATTTAGAATTAGCTATATATAGCAGACAAGAAATTACATTAAAATATTATGAAAAAAATTTACATTGAGACCTGAGATTTTTTCCTTCATATTTTGTAGCTACATTCAATTGCAACATGAATCGTAGGCAGTACTTGCCAACACAGATGCTGTTGCTGTACATAATTCCAGTAGTTTTGGGGACTAATGTATGAATGAAAAGCCAGTGAAAACACTTTATATCATGATTTTCTTTGGAAGTGCAGGAGGATGTAAGAAGACTGGACAGCGTGAAGTTGCAAATCGCATTGAATAGAATAGAACTGATGATTCACATTTTATCCAAGATCTTTACTTTTAATAGCATCATCATACAAACTCTAGCCAGAAATCTTCGCTCAGATGAGCACAAAAAGTGGATGCTGATGAAATAAGTCAAATGTGTCAAATGTGCAAAACTTATCTGATTATTAAAGTGTATTTTTGGGAGGTATTGAGTATTTTTTAAGCTGTATTGGCAAGGGTGTTGTATATCTGTTTTTAGGAGACCACATAGACTTACCTGCAGTTATGTTTCATGGGGAAGAAAAGAAATATTCAATTGCCTTTGATTAAGGGAAAATGCAAACACATCTTTAAATGCTATTTATCTACTTTAAATGATGCTTTAAAAACAGCTCCTAACATTTTCAGTTTATGGTTTTATATTTATTTGATTATTTCAATATTTATGGCATTTAAAACTTTGAAGACATTCTTAAATTATTATCATTTTCATAAAGATGTCAGCATATTTTTAGTATAGCTGGACTATTTTAATTTTGACCTTTAAGAAAAAAATAAATCAATTACTAAACTAAAATTTAGATACCAGGACAAAACCCATACAGATAAAAATGAAATGTAGTCACATTCTTTTGTTTGTTTTCATAATTGTTGGTTGATATTGACTAGCAAGCACTTCCTTATGTGCAGAAAATGTATTATTTTTCATATAATGCTAAGTAAATGAAAGTTGAATGTTAATATATCTTTTAATAAGTCGGTGACAAATTCTGCTAGCTTGGAAATAGTGGTAGAAATAAAGTTAAACTGAAGCAGTATTTATCTAAAGTCAGAATGTGTAGTGCAGCCTAGGACTCCCATGATAATATTTTGCTACCAAAAGGTCCATTCTTCCAATTTCTATGGAAAAACAGATTCTCTGTGCAGTGTGACACAGAAGATATTGTTGAATGAAGACCAGAGTAGTAATTTTAAGAGTTGGGCTATACTGTGAGCTGGCTGCTGGCACTCCTGGCATTACTCATACAGATTCATGTTGATTTGCAGAATAGCTGAACTTGACTTGATGTGTGATGCAAGTCATCCCCTTTTTAGAAGTTATGTAGTTAAAAGGCTTTACAAAAGCCTTACTGTTTTGGTAGCCTTTTAATCAGTGAGCTTGCTCTGTCAAACAGCAGCATGTGCAGTGCACTAAGTTACAAGTTAATATTTTTTCTCAGTTTAAAAGACAGTGAGTGTTAAGCACATGCTTGTGTGTGTGAATGCCTTCCTCATCTGGACAATGAAATATTTTTCAGCCCATGAATGTCAGCAACGAATTAGCTTTTCTCTCTACTTAAGCAGTTGAATAATACAAAGTTAGGTCATCTCCATCTTATATGTGTCTCTAATTTTCCTTTTTCTTCCCTTCTCCTCTTCTTTAATTGAAATAGTGGATTATGGGAGACGATTGACAAGTCTGACCAATAGGTCTGGGAGTGAGATCATAAATTCTGAGTGCACTTAGAACAATTTTCTAATCCCTTAACATATGAACCACTTCTCGTAGACAGTCTCTAGATATTAGAGTAAGTGTAATTTTACACAACCCACATGTTTCTGCGGGACTGTTAACTAGTAGATTTTTAATGTCTTAAGAGTAGTAGCAAAATCATTGCCATAAAAACTTCACACATTTTTTTCTTTTTGGCCAAACCCAGAGCCAGGCATTTACATTTTTTGTTTGTTCCTACATTTGGGAAACTACAGCCACACTCTGCTTATCTTGTTAAGAACAGTAAGCAGAAGGGAGCTGACAAATAATACCTGGAGCTAGAGAGAGTACCATTCCTGGGATGGACAGAAACCTCCTGAGATATCAAGGAGAGTCTTTCTGAGTGCTCCCTTTCCTTTGTAGACTGTTGTGCAATCCACCTGTAGCAGGCTACTTCCTAGCAAGAAGCTATGGGAGATAATCTTCCCTTTCTCAACCGCTGGCAAAAGGTCCTCAAGCACCAGAAGAGTGAGAAAAGGGATTATACCTGCATGGAGATAGGAGGTTGCAGTGATCTAGGGATATCAGATTCCTACGTTATTCATGTTGAAATGGCCACAAAGAGGCTCTTGGAAAGTTCAACTATGCAAGTGTAAAATACTTATTCTGGTATTTGTTCAGTCATACTGGTTTGTTAAGGACTCCCAGCAAATACAGCAACAACACAAGGAGAAAAGGGAAGGTTCCCTACATAAGGATTGCATATGGCCTGAAGGAACCCAGTTTCTGGAGACTGTGCAACTAACTCTCTGGATTTTTAAATAAGTTTTTGTCTGGAGTGTATAAACCTCTCACTCTATACTTCCATGGAATGCTTTTTCTTACATGGTGCTTGGTATTTTTTTTTTGTTTTTGTTTTTGTTTTTTTTGTAAGGGTGTATTGAGAACAGAATGTGTGGTCAGGACAGATCCCTTCATTTCAAGTTGTTCCAGTATTTTGACAGTAGCAATTTGATAAACCTCAGAAGAATTCCCTTTCTTATCAGTAGACTTAGAGTCTGGGTGTACAAATTTCTTACTGCTTTCTTCATGCTTCTTATTACTCTAATTTACATGTATTTCCCCATCAGTGTGTAGTATACTACGTAGGAGACACATTTTGAAATAGTATTACCACATTTCTTTAGAGAAATTAGGAAAGGTATGCATGTACTAACATTTTTTCAAATAAAGAAGTATAAAGGAAGGAAATATCATTAAATGTAGTTCACAAATTCTCAGACAGGTTTGCAAGCCAGCTGAGTCTTGTTGGAGAATCTTTCCACTTAATTTCAGCTGGTTAGTGGGCCAGGAGAGATTTCCAGTCCTTAAACAAACAATTTTAAGTTACTTGTGAGGGGGCTAAAAAGCAAGTTGAAAGGTGGTAATTCAACCCTGGTTTGAAATGGAAATCACAGTAACATGTCTGAGAAACTACTTTTTTCCTCTCTGTCCTCATTTATGTATTTTAGAGTAAAATTAGACTGGATTAGGTTTGGGGGCCTCTTGTATTTCCTTATCCTTAAAATTGATTACATTCTAGTGACTGAAAAATATAGCAATACTGACAACCTTTCTTCTCAGGGTGAGGTGGATATCAACCAGCTGGTGTAGACAGAATTTTGCATCTCATCAAAACAAAACCTGTTTCAGAACAGCAGCCTCCAGGCTTTTTTTCTGTTTCAAACAAGAAAAGCTAGGGCCTCCAGGCACATTATTTTTAGCTGATTAATTCTGAATATGAAGGTATATGCCTCCAGGGCACAGGGCACTCCAGTAAGGGGAAGCATGCTTTCAACTGCCTTGATTCCTTTGATATGGACTCTAGTGGGTGATACATTTTCAGACCTGTTCTGAAGTAGGTTTTATGAATTCGTATTGACAGATTTTTCTCATATTAGCAGCAGAGCCCAAGCAGTCCTCTACACATTTGAGTGATCATCAAATTCAGATTCACTTCAGTGTAAACATTAAAACTGCCCCTACCACGAGAGCATCTGAGGAAATTCCTACACCTATTATTGAGCATGGTGCTGAAGGATGTGCTTTGCCCAAATACAGGAAAGACAGATGCAGTCCATCAATGTTA